TGTCTCCAGACCATGCCCTAATAGTTCTTATCCAAACATAATGACCTTGCCATGCTTTGTACCAAGGTATCTAAAACCATCTCTTTGAGACAGTAGGGATGTAAATCCTGAGAGGTTTAATTTAATTTGCAAAGCCTTCACTGCTGATGATGATGTGCAGTGGAGAAAGAACCCAGCCTGACTGTCCTGGGACACAGGATGTTCCTGAAGTTACTTATAAACTCACAAACACTCTATGGAAATCACTTGTACCGAGTATGCATCCCCAAATGCACTTTTTCCAGTCAGTTTTGAGGCATGATCATTCAGCACTTGACTCTACTCAACTACAAAATGGAGATAATAACCTCTTTGGGGAACATTACTTAAGCCAAGAAAGTAATGTTTGAAATGTTTTGAGATCTCTAGCTGGAAACTCCCATAGAAAGTAAAACCAGCCACACAATGTTTACAGTTACAAGCTCAGTTTTGTGCCGATTTAAGCTGGTAGAAGAAGAGCTCTGTCAGGAGTTTATTCTTCAGTAAACTTGGTCCACATTAAGACCGGAGCCCAGAGGTCACTTGATTCCCCTCACTAAGCTCAGGGTAGTGAAAAAAACAGATGTTTTAAAAGAATTTTATAAGAGACAACATGCAGCTATCAGTTATGGAAACTGGGTAGGACAGCTGGATTAACAGCCCTACGGGGAGTGTTGCAAGGTCTTTGGATGACTGGATACAGTCACAACCTTGATTTTCTTCTCTCTTCAAGGAAAAAAAATCCCTCTTATTACAAGTCCAGAACTGACTGAACATTGTCAAAATGACAGATGCAGAAATGTCTACTTACACCTGAAAGATTCACTGCTCAATTACAGACCCTCAACTGAACAGATTGCTGCAAAATGGCTGCACACTGTAAAATGAAGGAAAGTTAACAAATGGTGTGTAATGTTAAGGAAAAATGAAAATCAAGGCCAGTGCTCCAAAATGATAGATTACGTCTCATGCATGAAAAATCAGAACTACATTTTTGCAGGAGGCAATGCTAAGAGGAAGGAAGGCCTTGGGACTAGACACCATGACCATTTCCATCTTCTACAAGAAGCTACTTCAGAACTTACTTTCTTTGGCATCCATGCATTTTTAATATTAAGAGCAGTTTTCTGTGGCCTAGTCTGAAGATCCTGCACACAGAACGCATTCATCTGTATGAATGAAGCCACTAAACAAGCATCTTCTTGTAATGCCATGTTCTTAGTAGTCTTTTTATTTTTAATGTAGCATTTCCCAGGGATGCTGACAAATAAATGTAGTTTCAACCAGTCTGTTGGATGTTCTGAGACAAACAGGCAGATTTAAGACCTTACTTGACCACAAACGCACAAAAGCGCGCACAGAGGCACATACACTCAAGCACACATGGAAAAAGCTCATGTTTGGGTCTGAGTGTGTAACTGCACTCATTTTTTCATATACATTTTTGTGGGAACATTTTAGGACTCAAGTCTGGAAAATTCCACCACTTTATGTTGCACACCATATTACTGCTATGATCTCAGCTCTAGCCTGAATTTATACTAGTTACGCTCCTTGCTCTGAAAGCTCGACAGGCTCTTTGGTGACATCAGCTATCTTTTTTTCATCAAGCATTTCTTAGCTGGTAAACCTGAAACTCCCTTTGTGGTTTCCAGTCTAGACTTCAATTTGCACTAAGTTTATCAGCTAGGGTTTTTTGGTGTCATCTTTACAAAAATGGTCTAAACTGTTATGCATTTATTTCACACTTGTCTTCCAATAGATATTTTTAAATTATTTGCTTAAGTAAACGTATTTTATACCGATTACATCTGACTTAAAAAAAAAAAAAAAGCATCTGGTTTAGCTTTCATGGGAAAATCTGGCCTCCAAAGCCATTTTGAGCTTTTAAGTCTCAAGAGTAAAGCTTTAATTTGACACTTACATATGGGTTCACGAGAACCCGTTGCTCCTGAGTGATAACCTGGCTCCACTGGCACATATTTGTACAGTATCTTTGACAGAGAAGGTATGTTATGATTAAAAAATGTGGTTGCAGAGACCTTCTCATTGTCAGCCTCTGAATCTGCCAATTAACTACAGAAATCACACGTAAGTGACAGAACTGGGGGCAACCCAGCCACTCTGAGTGACAGGCAGGGAAAGCTCAAACTGCTTCTCTCAAGACAAAGCAGTGATCTCTTTCTCAGTAAAGAAACTTCCTAACAAAAAAAATATGTGATTATCAGATCCTTTTAATAAGGCTTGAATGACAAAAAATAATTATTTTCATAATAATTAAAAAACCCTTTAAATTTTGATACATTTTTAAAATACAAAAAACAATGCTTTTTATCTAAAAAAGCCATACTTCTTGAAAACATTGGAGCTGTTGCAAGAGCTGCACAAACCATTTTTGGTTAGCTGTTGGATAGGCAATTTGTACTGTACAGAACAGAGAGTGCTGCAGCAGTGCTGAGGACTTGGAAGTTGGGTGTACAGTAGTGTTGCCACGTACTTGAAAGAGTTTTATTAATAAAGAGCTTTGCAGTATGAAGGAACTAAATAAAGTGCTGCCAGACTGTTTCCAATTGCTCTGCAGATAACATACTGTCCGGCCATTCACCCTTGGCACACACAACTTTGTTAACATGCAATTGTAAATTTTTATTTTTTTTTTTTTTTTAATTAAAGTAGCAGTATGCATCAGGGATATGGAAAAATCTAGCACTGCTCTGTCTGCCTCTGTTTGGAATGCTCTAAGCATAATACAAAAAAAGAAAAAAAGATTTTTATGAAAGAAAGTCCAATAAATGCCAATGAATTCAGTATTACTAAACCCCAGTTTAGAACAACACAGGAAATTATGATGCAGTTACTATGATCTAATTACAGCGGAATTCCCTTGGAAAAGAATATAACTTATGAATTTCTATTCATTCCAATCAGTGTTTTTGAAACTTTAGGTGAGTTAGTAGGACATTTGGATGGTGCCAGCTATTAAAACTTAAAACAACATAGTGATGTTAGAAGAAGCCTAACAAATACGTGGGTGTGATTAGTTTCTATTAAAAAGACAATAGAGAGTGCGTTTGCTAAGCTAAGATATAAACTCTCACTCAAAATCAAACACACATATACACAAACTGGAAACCCTCTAAAGGTATAGTAAATCAGTAAATTAGTAAATTAGCCCAGACCAGAACTCATACCTCTTAAGCTGCATTTTAGGTCTCCCTCTTCTGCAGAAAAACTATCTGCCATCAGGAAATTCCTATGTGTTTAATTTGATTGTATTTGGAAAAATACAATTAATTCTTAGAAAAATAAGTACCATATAAGGTTAGGTAAGAGCACAGCATGGAGAATGCCTGATGAGTCTTATGCATTCAGACTTCTGCATGCATTTAAAATGCTGTATTTCAAGGTCTTAAAACAAGCTATTGAAACTGCAGTGAGGGTTTCCTACACTACTTCACTGACCTCCACATTTGAGACTGGTGAAGTTCAACATAAGTACTAGTAATCTGGTTAGGATGTAAAACTGCAGCCCTTGCATTGGGATTTTCCACATTTGCAGACACTGAACAGAAAGGAGTGGAAGATGACAAAATCGCATTTCTCAGAAGTCTGCATTCCCAGAACAAACCATAACAGATGATATCCTACTATATCAGGATTACTAAACTTTAATTGACTTCAGGAAGGTGAAAGATTTTTCTCCATCCAGACCAATTCAAATGGGTATCTCCTCAGAGATCCTTCTTTTTAAAACAGTGACTGTGATGTTGGTATGTCCAATTTTTGCAAGGTAGCCTATGGTAGTTATGCATATATAGAATCATTTTGGTTGGAAAAGACCTCTAAGATCATCAAGTCCAATCACTGACCTAACACTGCCAAGTCCTCCACTAAAACACGTCCCTAAGCACCACATCTACATGTCTTTTAAAGACCTCCAGGGATGGTCACTCCACCACTTCCCTGGGTAGCCTATCCCAGTGCTTGACAACCCTTTCAGTGAAGAAATTTTTCCTAATATCCAACCTAAACCTCCCCTGACGCAACTTGAGGCCATTTCCTTTGTCCCATCACTTGTTACTTGGGAGAAGAGACCTAGAGCCACCTTGCTACAATCTCCTTTCAGGTAGTTGTAGAGAGCAATAAGGTCTCCCCTCAGCCTCCTTTTCTCCAGGCTAAACAACCCCAGTTCCCTCAGCTGCTCCTCATCAGACTTGTGCTCCAGACCCTTCACCAGCTTCGTTGCCCTTCTCTGGACAAACTCCAGCACCTCAATGTCTTTCCTGTAATGAGGTGCCCAAAACTGAACATAGCACTCAAGGTGCGACCTCACCAGTGCTGAGTACAGGGAAAGGATGACTTCCCTGGTCCTGCTGACCACACTTTTTCTGACACAGGCCAGGATCCTGTTGGCCGCCTTGGCGACCTGAGCACACTGCTGACTCATGTTCAGCCAGTTGTCAGCCAACATCCCCAGGGCCTTTTCCACCAGGCAGCTCTCCAGCCACTCCTCCCCAAGCCTGTAGTGTCGCACGGGGTTGTTGTGACCCGAGTGCAGGACCTGGCACTTGGCCTTTTGAGCCTCATACAATTGGCCTCGGCCCATCGCTCCAGCCACCACTCCAAAAAGCAACCTGGGGCCATCCCCCTCCACCTTAGGGAATCTGAACCTTCACTGCGCTTCCAGTGTGCCCTACCTACCAAAGCTTTCTGGAAAATAAGCTGGAGATGAAAATGGAAGGGAATTTGCCACCTCTTGGTGCCAGATTATTGTGCAATTAGCAGTGAAAACCATAAGTAGAGTAGCTGTGTAATACTGAGCTGCTGGTTGCCCAAGTGGTTGGGGACTGGAAATTAGGTCTGTCCCAAATTAGATGGGAATTAAGTGGTCTGGATTTGATGGAATGTTACTGTAGGTAACTGAGCAGGCAATGGAAGCATTTTGTGGGTGGAAAAGCTCCTGGTCAGAAATCTCCCTTTACCTTTAGCCACTGTTCTGCCTGCTCTTTGCTCTGTACTGCCAGAACCAGGGCATCCGTTCCTTGGTGTGAGATTTTCAGCTCATGCTTCTTCTTTTTGCTGTCTTTGGGAATGTACGTGATACTGCAGTCATTCAGAAGTAGCTCCATCTGAGGCTGCTGGTCCTTGGAACTTTTGTAACACTAAAGAAATGTAAGGAAAGTTCAAAAGTTAGAAATCACCTTTCTGAATCTTGGGGGAAAACTGGTATTATATAGAAATGCTATTTTTAAATTTTTTATATTTTCCACACACCCCTTTACCACATACCACAGAGTTCAGCCAATGCCAACTTTGCATTTCTCCTCCTCATCCCCTCTGTAAAGTAAAATTACTTCCAGACTGACATCAATAGACATCTTCTACTGCAAGACAGGTACAAGATATGGAGAGCATTAAGCTTCTCTCTGTTATTTTTATGACTCAACCTTGACCTTGATCAGGTAGGAAGAGTGTGATTTAGGATATCTGTTCACACGTAGCAGCAAAATAAACTTGTACAGTTAACGACGTTAAAGCCCAGATGCTTACCCTGCCCTGTAGCAACAGCCCAGCATATGAAGGCAAACCTATGCCAGTGCCTATATGCTGCAGCTACAAAGGTGCTGTCACGTGCCCTACTCAGCTGTTATTTTTCTTGAGAGAAGTAAAAAATGTCACACTGTGGAAAGGGGGCAATGTCACAGGATAGTAATGTTTTTAGCTAATTCATTTTAATCAGTCACTGCACGAAACCACATAAATCTCCATGTTAAGTGTACTCTGTAAGCTCCCCAATAAAACTGTATGACTTTTACCCAATGTTTATTCCCTCAGTAGTAAGTGATGTCAATGAACAGCCCTTTCATGGTGGACCACTGATGACGTGCTCTATGTTTAAACTGATGATCTAAACATTAAAGGTTTCATGTTACATAACTTGTCCTATAGACCTAGTCCCTATTCCCATCTTCCAGCACATCAATATAGTTGAGGTTCATCAAACTGTCACAGAGTGTCAGATTACAGAACTATGTTTAATTGTGTGTATGAATGTCCAGTTATTTTATATACTTATGTAAATTGGGCTTTTACTCATACAAATAAGCAAAAGGCTAAAGAGGTATCTGATAATAAAGAAGACTAATTAGTATATGCATACATAGAATAGTTGAGTGTAAATGTGAACAGAGAAAAGCACATGAACTTTTGCATGTCTGCAGCAGTATTCATGTCATGATGCAATCGTCAGGAAGACAGTAGCTGTTAAGTGTGTTATAAACACTATAACTTAGGCTGAGCTAAAATAGCCATTCTAAACCAGCCTCTTCAAATCACTCATAATCCTCCTTCCCTTTCCAAAGCCCGTTACCTCGAAGTTTCTCCAGCCTGGTCTCAGATTTTAAGTTTGTAACATTAAAAAAAATTAAGTTTTCAAGTTATTAAATCTTGAAAGCATACAATGTTAGTCACTTTAAGAAGCAATAAACAACACATAATTCCCTTTATATTAATTTAAACATTTTATTTATTATTAAACATTACTAAAACTTAAGTATTTATTTATTAAATGACTTCAAGTGAAAAATTATCCCCCTACTGAAAGTTATTTCTAATGTCTAATTCTAATTAAAATATTTTGGTTTTATGATGACAGCTACATTTATAACACAATCAATTACTAATCCCTAAGAACATAAATTTGTTTTACTTGCGTATCTCATAAGTTAAATGTCTGAGTCCTCCTTCAAACAATAAACTGATGTTGTGTAATTTAGCTGTTAGACTCCTATTGTGATTTTTATTTTCTTAATCCCCATTAGAGAATTAATGAAAGACAATCCCTATAAGGAAAAAAAAAAGCTTTTCAGACCACACATGTGGCTAAAGGAAATGAAAATAGAAAAAATAACATATTTCTATACAGAACAAATGTAATTGTAGAAGAAATATTGCATGACTTCAGAGAAAAATCTGTTTCTTTCCCTTTTTTTCTTTTCTTCAAGCTGTTATTCAGCCGTCCTGAAATCTGATATGATCCTGATCCACGGTGATAAAAATGTGGGCTAAGGATAATAGCATTATAACAATATAATACAAACTGAATCTTTTAAACACTTAAATAGAGGAGGATAGAAAAATTAAATCCTCAGTAACCACTGAAAATTGGCAAATGAATTCCAACTATATTTTCAGAAACCTCCTACCCAGATACCTCAATTTCATATCCTATTATTTCCTACACTGCCACAAACATAAACGTACTTGGAAAGTGAACACATCTAAGCTATGTTCTAAGTGTAGAATGAGGTTCTACAGAAAATGTTCTATCATCTGTTAATCAGCTTTTATCATTTGGGATATTGCAGTAATTATTATTTACATAATTAGTTACAACTGTTGGAAGCACCAGACAGAAAGACAGGGAGTGCCTAAGCCCCTAACTTACTTATTACTGTAAGCATTTGTTCGCTTATCAGGACACAGAAATGAGTATTTCCCTCAACTAGGCTCTCTTTTCAGAGAACAAAAAGACATCTATGAGCAGATAATTTACTAACTTATGGAATCTTTTACTGGTGCCTCCAGTCAGAAAGAAACATAACAGATATGCTTAAGGAACACATACATCCACTTGTTTCTCTCCTTTCTATAATGCAGCTGTGCATCATGTGAACACTGCATCGGTAATTACCGCAGAACAGATGGCAAAGGTTTAGTTTAAAGTGTATACATTACCACGGCATATGCTGCCAAGTGAATTTGCAGTCTAACAAGGGACGTTTCTCTCCAGCAGTCTGATCCAACAGTTCATACACAAAGCTCCCTATGAGATTTTTGGTCCGCAGGGAACGAAAGATTGGATTTACAGTTTCAGCGATTTTTTTTTCCAAATGAAATATGTTAGAAGCTAATAGGCCAGACTTTTTTTCCAATATCAGGGAACTGCCTGGGTTTAAGTTTAAGTCCAATAAAAATGAAAGTTCTAAGTGGCTAAATAATACACTTATAATTTAAGTGTTTCTCTGCTTTTTGGGTAAATCATGACTGAACTCTTTTGTAAGGTTGCTGTAGACTTGGCCACTGTTTGCAGAAAATATTCTAAAAAACAGATTACTGTAAAAATAAATACATTATGTAAAAGGTGCAAAGAAAAAATAGCTAGATAAAAATAAAATTTACCAGTAGTTTGTTTTCTTTGATAACACACAGTAATTTGGTCCATTGCCCAAATCGCTTTTTTCTAAGGAGGAAGGCACAGATTTTGGCATCCTTCACCAGGTCCATAGAGGCCTCCTCAGAAGGCCACTGATGTCTCATTTTCTTCGCCTTTCCATCCTCTTCCTCTTCATCGTAGGATTCATAAGAGCTGCTCATAGCATCTGAGTCATAATCTTTAAGAAAAGTGTGTAAGTAAATGTGAAGTTAAAGCATTTAGCAATGAAACGTACTGAAATAACTGAAAATCTCAACAGAGTTCAATTTAAGTGAAGGCTTTTGAAAGCCAACCATGAACAAATTACTGTTTCAGTGCTTAGCAATATCAATACATTAAGTTAATTGAATAAGAGATGCTGTTCCACTATGAAATTTTAGAGAAGGTTCATATTAATACCTTGGGAATTTTAATTGAAAGAATGAGCTGAGAATAAATAGTTAGAGTTTTAGGTAGTTTTTTATTATCTTCAAAATATTACTCAGCAGATACCTTCATCTTTTGCAATTCTTTTACAAAGAAACATCTTCATCTTGCTCTATTGCATAATGCAAAATGTAGGCACAGAAATGTCAATATTAGTACAGCATATTAAGAAACAAAAACTGAGTATGACAAAGGTCACAAGAGTAAATTACGGGACATTATCTACTTATACTTATCATAACATTTCATACAATTCTCAGATACAGCACCTGCACTGATACAATTAACACTGAATAGACAGTGCTGTTCCTTGAACACTATGGATTCTGCTGGAGTTAAAGGCATACTGCAAAAAATGTCTTGTTATGTTAGCCTAAACAGTTTAATCACAGAATCACACACAGAATCACAGAATGTTGGGGATTGGAAGGGACCTCGAAAGATCATCTAGTCCAATCCCCTTGCCAAAGCAGGAACACCTAAATGAGATCACACAGGTTAATCTTGCTCTAAGTTTGGTGATGTAATGGCAAGACTCTTTTTTAATTAATCTTTGTTCAGGCCTTTCATTTTCAACAATGCAATCAGCTCTAGTAGTCCTTTCAGCTACAAAACTAATTTGCCATTATCACAGAACCGTGGCTTCCACAATCCATACTTATATATTTGTTTATGTGGGCATATAAGTAAAGCTCTTCACATAATAACACCTGAAGGCATGCCTATTATCCCCTGGCACATGCTCCCATGGAGGAGACTTGATTGGAATATTTTCAATATCTGAAATTTAATCTAAACTTTTCAAGTACATTTTGATACAGTTTTAAGCAAGAAGATGGAAGAAAGATCATAGAAGAAAGATCTCCCGTTTGATTTAGCTGCGTATTTAGTATACAGTTGGGATGCAGGAAGGAGACCCGGGACAACTGGGAAAAGGACAAGAAAGTTCTTTCAAAAGAGCTCATTCTAAAACAGTTCCTCCCTACCTGCAGAGTCAGAATGGCATAGACCCAGACCTCCCATCTCTGAATCAAGATTAGATATGCTGATCCTATTTGTGTTTTCACAACAGTGTACAAAACAGTTTATCTTCATTTCAAAGTGAAAAGAAAATAAAATTTCAAGCTCTTGAAATTCTTTTAAAAATTTAAATTAATTGCCATCTTCTGGTCAGTTCTGCTACAGAGTGTTTGGTTTGGGGCAGGTCTGTAGGGGCATGTGGTAACAAGTGATGATTGAGACTTCAAAGTAGAGACTGAAATTCTGCAAGCTAAATATCTTGAAGGTACTTCCTATGTGGCTCACAAGCAGTCCAAATGCAGATTTCATGTTAGTAATAAGCTGTATGAGCAGCAGACAGACTCTGCTGGAACAGCAGTTGCAGGTTCATCCAAACCTCTGTTTATAGGAGGACAAAAGCCAACAAGAGCCTCTGAGGCTGACATTTCTGGGCTCCTATCCTTGCACAGTTTAACGGGATCTCTTGGGACCTGTTGCCATATCCTGCCCATAAACTACTCCCCATGTTTCTCTTCTCCTTGGGTTGTGGGACTCCTGGCCAGAGGAAGAGTTTGCTGTGTGACTCACACCAGGAAGGATGACCACCCTGGAGTACTTGCATCATCCAGGCTGAAACCTTTACTGCTCTTTGCCACATCCCGTTTCTATTCTTTGTTTCTCCAAACTGCTGTATCATGACCAAAACAAGGCTCTGGACACAAAATAGTTTCTGTTCACGTTGTAAAGTTACTATTTTTACATAAATAGCATAGGCAGTCTACTACCTGTATGTAACAGCTTTAGCAGACATTCAGAAAGTTATGCAGAGAGAACCAGCATGTATGTATAATTTCAAAGGGTTTTGAAGCAGTATTATTTCTAACTAATATTCAATGTGAACTGAATCTGAGAAGTAATGAACTTCCTATGAAAAAATGGTAAATCGTGGAAGTAAACTGTGTAAAGGTAAGTTGTAGAAAGGCTACTAGTGACTAAATCCTGTTTTCTCTTATTGTCTCATCACAATGGGTCATGAAGTAAATTGTAGGTAAGATCTGAAAACTTCTTGTGTTTATGTACAAGTCAACACACTCTTTGGGTCTTGGATTGGGGAAAGGGGCAAGAGAAAGGAGAGAAATACAAAATGTGTAGAAAAAGTTAAAAGTGTCTCTCCCAAATAAAGTTATTTTATTGTCTACTTAATTCTTGGAGACTGAAATTCACTTGACAACAACATCTACAAAGGTAGATCATTGCTGCTGATCTACCTTTTTTGCATCTTCTGATTATTCTAGCTTCTTCTGACATTGGCTTTTCACCCTTCATGAAAATTTTCCACAGTAAGGGAGTGAAAATCACAGTGGACTTTCACATTATTTGTAATAGTGTATTCCACAGATTAATCTGTAATAATTTAGGCATATTGTACAGACCAGTAGCTTTTAATAAAGAGAAAGAGACTTATCAGACAAGGCACATACAGCCTTGTTTTCATTTACATGCAAGTGTTCATTTACAAACAGATTATAGGGACTTGGGAAATTACAGGTATTTCCTTTTCGTGATCTATATTCTGCAAATTTCTTCTGCTGCTGTTCACCTTTACGGGTAGGACACAGGCTATGTAAGCCTCCTTGATATTAATAGGATTACAAAAATATTCCATAAGAATCTTTACTTAAGATAATGATATCTATCCCAACAGTTGTTTAACAGTTTATTCTTGCACTTCTTATACTTTTGACACTTCTTTGTTATGGTCTTCTCCACCTCAGTCTGAACAGCTAAGGTTACACCTTTGGTTAATACACTGCTTTGGTGGCTTATTTTAATTACCACACACACTGGATTTAATGGAAGTCTTACTTGAGTAGGGATATATTACTAATACCATATTGAATTTAAAAGCAACTTCATTACCAAAGAAGACTGGAATACTTTTAACACTAATTAAAAGAGATGATAAGGAGTTCAGGACATAAGAAAATAGAGCAAAATCACAGCAAATAAGATGATAAGTTACACTAACAGAGAGAGATTTAAATGTCTGGAGATATATATACTTAAGTTACAGAATTATTGATGAACTTTTAAAAATATTTTTATGCATTAGGATGGTTAAGTACAATAAGAAATCAGTTTCATATTTTGTCTTTTTTTTCCCTAGGTGATCCTTTAGCAGTGCCACTAATATTTGTTCTATTAATATTCTTCTGTTTGAGCACGGCTCTTGTTTAATGACAAAACAAAAATCAGCAGTTTGCTGGATTACAGGGTGTAGCAGGACCACCCCACAGCATTTGAAGGGAGGAAATGAAGAGGGGAGTGATTTTGCTGCTCTGCTAAGACTATGTTCCTTCATTTGCTTTACAGCAACATTTTCTTACCTTGAATTTCTTAGGTAAATTAAGATAACCTCAGTCTGTGCAGCGTACAATTGAATAGCTAATACTCTAAGGTGACTCCTATGCATGCATTTGAAGAACAGAGCTATCATTTTATTCATTTGTTCTGGTTCAAATAATAAAAATGGCTATAAAATGGGGGAAGATATGCCTCTAATCTTTGGGCCTTAGAAAATAACAATTAGTGATAAATCAGCCATACACAAGCAATAAATTAGCCAGCCAATAAAGAAGCAGTAAAAAGAAAAATCTTTGCAATTTTTTTGGTACATAATGTCCTGTTGACCGATCCTGTGTAAACGCTCATAGCAGTCATTTCATCGGTTCATCAGCCTGCTCTCAGCGTAGCTTCGCTTAAGTGCATAGGTCTTTGGATAAGTATTTGGACACGAGAAAGAGTATTTGTGTGTTGCAGAAGGACGTTCTGGTGGCCAGTTAGGAGGCATCCCTTTGCCTTTTGCACTAAATGAGTAGTCACAAAACTACCGTCATGTGCCTCAAACATGGCTGGGGGGAGCCAATATGAGTGATTTATCCCTATCCACAATGTGTCACTGCTGCGCATGACATCTTTTAAATAACTCATTTTTAATTTTAGTTTTTCTACTTTAGCAAGTAATTCAGTGCAATAGGGACGTACCAGTAAATCTGCAGACCAGCACCAGTTTCAGAGACCTCTACATTTACAATATTGCCAGTTTAGAGGGGTTTACTCTGGACAATACTTAACTCTGGACTCCTGGCCCAATGCCCCCACCACATTTGTGGTTCAAAGCTGTTCAAAAGACCAGTGGTTGATCTGGACCTTTTGTCTCCAATAGCAGCTGAAACATGTCTATGTGTACCTAACTTGAGCTCCAGGTTTAGTTTCCTCTAAAAGGAGCCTGGTTTGTGCTCACCAACACAGTTCAGCAACCAAACGCATGGGTAGCAAGGATAACCAGAACCAGCCCCAAAAGGTTAAAGCCACGCTTACAACACATCACTACAGCACTTACAGAGATGTAAGTGTCAAATACTAAAAAAGCTGAGGGACACTGGAATTACCAATTGCTCAGAAACTCATCTAGATATATATTACTCACTGGAAGTTATGTACTCAGGAGCCTTTCCAGGACTAAGTGGCACTGCTTCTTCATAATAGCCTTCGGGAAGGGAAGATGTTGGTAATGGTGGAGGCCCATTATCTGGTGGCTAAAAAAAAAAGAAAAAAGGAATGAAAAAGTTAACATCAATCACTCATTATAAGGAAGCAGAAACTTCTTGCATGTATTCCAACTGAGACCTTTGGGGATATAAACACAGAATGGTCTTACTTGCCATTGTTAAGGGTTGCAAAATCAAGATAACAACTACATTAAAAGGAGTCCTTTCCACCGCGGCTTTAAGTGGTAAAAATGTTGAAAAGATATAGTTCTCTATTTAAGAAGTAGAAACTTAAGGGGTCTATGTAGGAAAGAGATTTCTGTGCATACACCGTTTTACAGTGTTAAGGCTTATTTATTAGTATTTTACATCTAAAATAATTCATATTACAGCAGCGAACAACAGTTTGGTCGGACAGTTTAGAAAAGCTAAATAGTCTGGGATGGAAGAGATAAGGGACAGATCATTTAGATCTTATTTTCATGATGTATTTTGCTTTTCAATGGCAAATCAATTCTTAATATAGACATTTATTTAAAAAAATGCTCTTTCTACATAGTGAAAACTGAGCTACAACCAAGGAAAAGTTTGGAACATCAAGAAACTATTATATGATAAAATAAATATTTCAAATACCAGGTCAAATTCTAAAATGCTTCTTTTCTAAATATAAACCTGTTTTAAATTTAAAACTGACTGACTGCTGGTATGTTGATATAGTAACAAAGTAAATTTAGTACTCTGTGACTTCTTTCATATGACTTTACTGTTCTGTTTCCTTAACAAGTACCAAAACAACTGTATTTTATAAAACTCATTCATATTTGCCACAGGTTTTTAGTTCCATATTTTCATATTGGAGCAAATACTGAAATCTTTTTCCAACACCAGTAGTTTATTGTCCAATTACAAAAATATAGCTTGTAATCAGTCTCATTTAAACAGTAACATTTTTTTCAATACATCTTTCTCTTTTTTCATGTAATAAAAGAGATGTATTGGTGTTTGTCTGCATTGGACTCAGCAAACAAACAGCGCTACTGAAGTAAGAAACTAGTCAGGGTGGGCTTTGTTCATGGTCAGATACAGACACTTCTGGAGTGCAATTCAACGGGCTGAACAGTCTAGCAGAGACATAGAGCCTTCTTCCACATAATATAGATAGAAGCAACAGTGACTAGGCTTCTCTTGCTACAGACCTAAAGTTATCCGGGAGGAAGCTGAGCTTCGATAACATGTGGCATTAACTGTAATGAATTTACTTCTGTGAGCACTTTCAGGGCTGGATTAATCTTCCCAGATTTCAGAGCTAGACATGTCCACATCTCGTTAACGATTACACATCTATGCCAGATAACTAATTCTTAATAACATTAGCAAGATGAGTCCCACCTTTAAGTGTGCTCTGTGGTTAAATTCATATTGAGTAGGATATTCCACCTTGCAGGTAAGAGCTTGTGTATTCCCACTGTGCAGGAAGGCAAGGACCTAGCAAATAAAGCTTCAACTCATCCAGTACTGACTTCCCTTTGTGTACGGAGTAAAATCAGAAACTTCCTCACAAACAATGAACCGATTTGTGACTGAATAGAAAAATTCTTGGTCAGATTGAGATTTACACTATTATTTCTATATCAAATGATATAACCAACTTCACGTGTCACATTCAATTACAGATAAGAGATGGCAATTACTGTTATCTACAATGTGAACCAAATGAGTTTTCCTCACAGATCAGTTTTGATAGAGAAATTACCTGTCAAAGACACAAAAGAATGGAAAAATACAACTTTTAGCATAGTTTCCCTGTGATTCTACTGAAAAAACCCAAATTGCAAATCTGCACATAATCACTAAATAAATGAGTCCTTCCAAGTTAGCTGCACAGGCATGAGAGATGTGAAGAAATACTACATGTTTGTTAATACTGGGAAATTGACAGCACATTATGAATTTTGCCGTACACACCTGCACACATCAGCTCTACATGGCCTGAACTGCTTGATACAATAGGGGGAACCGCCTCCAAAGAGTATTTTATCCCTTCACGCAGTTGGGCAAAGCCTTGCTCATGTGAGTCAGGGTCAAAGTTTGTTCCTGGGGCAGTGCAGATTCATACTACCCCTTTCATAAAACAGATAAATTAATATCTTGGTCTAGCCTTAAACTATTTTCCTCGTCAGGTGTATATACGATATGTGAAATTCCTATCGTTATTAAACCTAATTCACCCAGGAAATACCCATCCCGAGAGTCATTCCAATTTTGACTTGACAGGGCACCAAGGTTTCAAAGAGATCTTTTCTCCAGAAACAAATAAGAGGTTCCAATAAAGATTAGGGGGGGAAATATCCTTGTTTTTAGACAAAATGTTATTCAGAAAGAAAGAAAGAAGGAAATGAAACACAAATGGTGCTTGTCTGAATTTGACCTTGCTGGATCACCAGTTACTTCATACAGCTGGGGCGGGCTGGGCTGCACAGCCAATGTCAACACAGATGGAATCCATTGCTGAACTAACCAGGCCCTCCTTTCTGAAATGCACTTTGCAGGGCTTGCCATAACAAAGTTGAAAACAATTATAAAAATGATTTTTTTTTTTAATTAGAAAAAACAGAAATATCCAACATTAAATACTTTCTGATTAAAGCAAGACTGCTTTAATATGGAAAGAAAATCAACTGATTAAATACAAAATAAAAATATCTCGCTCAAATCTGTGTGATAAACAGCTACATTTTTGGGAGCTACAGAATATGTAAGCGTTTGAGTATCAAGAAATAAAAAAGGCACATCTGAGCATTCTGATATTACTTACTAATATTTACAGTGCTTTAATTTTTTTTACTGTTGCTAGCTCTATTGTTTAATTCGTTCAACTTGTCAATTTTTTAGTGGAAGAATTTTGATGAAGTTATGAATTATGAACTGAAATAATCCTTGATTCAATAACTTCTCATTAGTTTACCTTTAAAAAGAAAAAGACCATAAACACTGCAAAACTACTTACGCATTCTATAAAAGGATTAAATCTCAAAAACCCTAGAACATGTGTAGTTTGAGTGGTATCAGGAGGAAAGGCCTGGCAACCTGCAAAGAAGGTATTAACATGAATTTCTACTTTTACGGGTTTTTTTTACAACAGGCCACAGGGAAGAAAACTAGAGAATGCTGCTGTTCAAGACAAATAACCTTGTTCAATCATAGGAATAAGAACTGAGTTAGAAAAAACCTTACTATTATTTTTATCTCACTGGAGTAAAAGGGACAAAGATGAGTGAGATATTGTTGCCCATAATACCAGTAATACTGAAACAATACTGATAAAGATTTTTTTCAGGTGCTGGCTCTGAGAATGAGAGATGCTTTATTTGAAACCAAAAAGGTGACACAGTAGTAATTACACTACATAGTTGAGATCTCTGAAGTCATTAAAGACTGGATTATGCATGGGATGCTCAACTCCAGTTTACAGGAGGGATTGTTGAGAGAAAGAAACAAATATGTCCAAATCATAAGCAATATTTACCTGGACAGTAAACTTCATTATTCTACTAGACACCAGGAAACAGGCTTAGTTGAAATACTAATTTTATGGCATACTATGCTCTTCCTCTCCACTTGCTCCTCTGTGTTCCAAATTAATTCTTTCTTTATCCCAGAAGATAAAATACTTTATTTCCCCCTTCTGCCCAAAGGTACGTACCAAGACAGGTAGGAACATTTTTAGGGATAGTCTAACTGCTATATGACAATAAGAAAGTACATAGTGTGGAAAGCAGCATGAAATACAGAAGAAAATAAATGTCATCATACAAGCACCTGAGGATATAAAATCAGTTTACACCCCAGTGAAGACTTACACTAGGTAGGAAATAGAAAGAAACACCTGCCTTTATGCAATGATTTAGGAGGTGGAGATTTCCAGTGGAAAGCAGTGGCTTTTAACAGAGGCAAAAACTGTCAGTACACCCGTGCTGCAGGCAAAGGCTGCCAGCAATTCAGGGGCCATGCTTGCACGTGTGTTATTAGATCAACCACCAATTCAGATCCAGCCGGACTGTGGAGCCAGCTGCTACGTAACCCCTCAACACTGAAAAGCAGCAACATGAGACTGGAAAAGTGGTCACACACTGGTGATGCATAATAAAGCCATTCAGAAGCCAGCAGGCAAATGTGGGTTGTCAAGAAGAAACCTCGACACATGTACATGCCATTTACTTTGGAGCAAGTTTAGACCTGACCTCTGTGCAACCCCCGGCCTCCTCAGCCTGGGAGAGGGAACACATTTATGATCCCTTTCCCATGTAAAAAAATGTATGTCCAAAAAGCAAAATAAAACAGCAAACTGAATACCAATACAACTGGCAAAACTAGTGGCAGCACATTGCAAGCAGGCTTCTTCATACCATTGTAAAGGCTTGAAACTGGGCACCGGCACTTAGAATCATAGAACTGTTTAGGTTGGAAAAGACCTTTAAGTTTATCAAGTCCAACTGTAAACCTAACACTGCCAAGCCCACCACTAAACCATGTCCCTAAGCACCTCGTCTACCCGTCTTTTAAATACCTCCAGGGATGGTGACTCCACCACCTCCCTGGGCAGCCTGTTCCATTGCTTGACAACCCTTTTGGTGAAGAAATGTTTCCTAATAGCCAATATAAACCTTACCTGGTGCAACTTGAGGTAATTGAGGCAAGGAGGAAATGCCAGCAGAAGTGACTACCAGGTGGAGGATGAGTGTAAGTACAAGTGAAGATTTTGTTTAGGGTTTAAACCTAAGAACAAAAGAAGGTACACGCTTTGCGGAGCGGAGGTACATCTGACACAGCCTAAATGTGTGTCTGCTGACTTGGGGTGAAGGCCTAATTAAAGGTATCTCTGGAAAAATGCTTAGTATGTAGAGTATAGTGACTGCAGACAGACTGCAGCCTCAGAAGCACAGCCTGATGATGGGAAAGGGATCTGAACAGACTTGCTCGCATTTAAAGAATGAATCAGGGAGTACTATGGCTCCACAGTTTGATCTGAAGATTGTCCAGAGAGC